AAAGCACAGAAAACAAAACGAGGCATCTGATTGTGGACTACAGGAAGAACAGGGAAGAGGACAACAAAAACAGGACTACGGTGGAGAGCCAGCAGCTTCAGTTTTCTCTGGGTCCACATCTTTGAGGACCTGGACTCACCACACCAACACCATCACAAAGCCAGTGACTCATCCTTCTCGGCAGGCTGAGGAGGCTTAACATGGACTCCACAATACTGTGCACCTTCTACAGGTGCACACTAAGGCCTTTCCAAAAGTACTTGCTACTCCCTCCCCCTAACTACTTCCACTCTGTTTGTGTGTTCCTGTGGAGGGTCCGCCACATTAAGTGCCATCCGAAACCAATGAGGGCGGAGCGGTAGTGGGTTACTAAACCGTCCAATACTGAGTGAGCACCAATGCCGGCTTGTTGAAGGTGTGTAACACCCTTTGCTGCACGATGGGGGACCTTTCTTTCAAATTTGAGTTCCGTGTGACTTCGGATAGGATTTTTAAATTTTCGAACTACACTAACATTTCTACAGCACCATTCACAGGCAAACAACGCAGCCCGAAGGTTAAATTGTGTTTAATAAAAAATGCTCTTGTCTGATAGACAATACAACTGTTGTTTTTATTGAATCGTACTCATCTCATACGAGAATCTTCCCAAAACAAAATAGCCTACATTAAAGGACAGAATAATAGAACATGGCACAACTAGAGATACATTGGAATCACGTAACAAGCAACAAAGACATTAGAAAAATAGTTACGTCTTTATATTTTAACTGTTTTAAATTCTTCAAACTATATAATGCTTCAATATTAGATTTCTATTTTGAAATGTTGAATGTGGTTTGTTTTTAGACCATTTGTATTTGTGAATGTAATATTTTTCATATAAGATAGCGAGGTTCAAAATCTATGAATATTAATCTTTTCATAAAAGACTATAATGTCTCTTTTTCATAAATATGAAGTCATAGTCGTAAAGAAATATTTGAAATCTAACCAAAGTAATTTGGTTCATGAACAAACAAAAATGCAAACAAAAAACACTTCAATCCTGAATCTTAATACAAGTGTTGTTTATTTGATACACATTATAGCAGCCAGTGCAGTGGTAGTCAGATCCTATTTACACAGGGGGAGAGGGTAGTTTGTCCTAAAGATGGCTGCAGTATTTATACCCTTCGCAGGTTAAGGAGCTCGATTTGGCTGTGAGGATGACTCTGACCAGGGTTCACTCCATGACAGAGTGGAAGTGGCGAGTGTCAAGTTCCACTGCGATTTCCTGTCAGGCAGTGTGAAGGGGGCGCTTCTGTCTCATATTGTAGTTATTTCAGCATCAGTTTGATCCATTTATTGCAATTAAATCACAGCAAAAGGTTTACTTTGTGTTCATACAGCTGTAGTAATCACGACTTGTGTTTATTCGCTTATTAGCTTAGTTGTCCAGCGATAAAACCCCAGCCAGGATTAAATTTGCGTTTGGTCTGAATGCACAATAAGATTACCCTGACTAGCTGCATCACTGCCTAGTAAGGCAGTGACAGAGCTTTTAGATATATTATAGGATTTTATTTCTTAGATTTCTCCTTTTTACCTGTATGATAAGACATGCTATATGGGTATTGATTGAGGGAGCCCAGAACTAAAAATTTTAATTGCAATTGACTGCTTCGCTGTAATAGTTGTGCATATGACAATAAAGAACTTCTGATGGCAACTAGTTTTGCAAGTTAGAGGATAGCAGCTGGTTTCCAGGTAGTTATTCTTTACTTGACTATTCCCATTATACAGAACTTTTAGCCCAATCAATTGCTTGGCCCATTAATCAAGCCAATATCTAGCATTTAGAGATTATCCTGCACCTGGACTCACGACGCCTCGTCAGTGTGGCTGCTGTTGAACGATGTTAGAGCTCCCCCTTACTGAGTTTTAGGAAGGTGGTTTGAAGCCCTAGGCAAAACGTCCTTAGTAACCTTGTCTTTTCTAAATGTTGACACATTTCTCCCTTCCTAAGTTAAATACATACTGTTATACTGTAGAGCTAGGGTCCTCAACTACTTTTCTTCAAGGGCCAGAATCTGTCTAAGCAGACGCCACGAGGCTTAATTAGTGTAGTTTTTATATTTGCCTATATCACTGTGAACAGACTCTTAAAAATATGGTAAATCCATAATGATATCTATCCTACTTAATTAGAAAATGCCCTCAGACTTATGCCAAGGAGGCTGTTCACTGGAAATATTAAATCAACCGTTTTTATACAGTCTGCTATTATGCAACATTATTGTGCATGTGACACCTGTAGTTACCGATGGTAGCAAAAAATGCAGGTATAAATAGGTCTACTACATGTCACAGAAGTCTGGGGCAGCTAAAGAAACTCTTCTCAGGCAATAATTGGTCTTCCACAATAATGTGAGAAGTTACTAGATACTTTTAAGTGAAGCTGCAGTAGCAGGAAATGTTCAGTTTGCATTAGCAGTAACTTAATACAGCATTTTACCACAGGAATTGCACCACAGATGCAAAGTTTCTAATACTGCAAATATACTAATATCGCAATACTTTCATTAGTGGCCGTTTGCATTTCCGGATGTGGCCCGCGGGCCGCCACTTGATAATCACTGCTGTAGAGAGTACTGCAGCTGAATGACATCACTTTTGTACCCCAGTCTCTGTGAAACACCAGTCACAGTCTGAAATCTACAGCATAACCCCGTACATTTTTCTATTTCATTTATTAATAAAAAATACTACCTAAAACAACAAGTTACCGGCTAAGATAACCATGTACTGTCAAAGTGTATACTATGATCTGAACTAATAATGAATACACTAACATTGACAGAGGTGTAATATCAGAAAAGGGTTTTATTTGTGAACAGTGAACCCGTTGAATCTTTACAATTTCACTATCTGTAGGCAGACCACCCAAAAAAACAGTGTAACCTGTAATTATATTATACAAACATTATATTTATTATACACTCATTTATACTTGTTACTCCTCCAGGTTGTGAATATATTTTGTTTATGAAATGATCAGAAATAACAAGAAATTGCATAATTTCATAAACTGTCAGCTTACCGATCATGCTCATAAAATTATTTTTTACAACATGTGAAGTTGCTTTGGATAAATGCATCTGCTAAATAAGTAAATGTAAACAAACACTGAGGGCGTCAGGATTTCTGGATATCACAAACATGGACTTAGACTCCAAGATCACCTTTGAGTTAAAGCGTAAGTCTGGCAGTTTTCAGCCTGGACGTCTACAAAATTGACACCCGACGATGTCCACAGTGAAACATCGTGTCTACGCGAATACTGTGGATATATTACAAGCCCAGACCACGTAAAGCAACAGCAAACACGATTCACAGGAGGAAAAATTCATAAAAAGACTTTTGTGTGACTATAAAACATACTGCTAATGCAGAAAAAAAGGAGAGAGACAGGCAGGCACAGCAACCCCTGTGTTTGCAGTAAGAGACTCCAGGTGGAGGTGTGCAGGTAGGAAAAGAGAAGTCCGAGACAAGCAGGAAGATTTAAAAATAATTACTATTCCCATGGGAAGTAAATCAACATTGTGAAGTCCCATCAGCGGTAGGCGATGACGATCTGTATCGGCCCAACCCAAGTGTCTATGTGACTAACAGGGACTTCAGTCTGCGGCAGCGATGCAGGGCTGTAAGGCGATCGCACCCTGCACATCCACTAAAGTGCTTATTTTTGCCACGGAGACTTCTAACACGGGCAGCTGTGAAATCTAGGCCCTCTGATTTCTACGATGCACTGATGGAATATCAGGTCGTATTTTGGTTGGACACATGAAGACTCACTATTACGTTCCGGTATTTTCATTGTAATCCATTGTTCTTTTCAGTATTAAGTACTCAGGTGTAATAATTTTATTACTCACATTTGAAGGAAGATATTTTATACTCAGAAGACTATTGTTATTTTGCTTATCATTTGTAATTCTGTGTATTTGATGATTTAGGGTTATACTTTTATGTCTAGATACATTTTTATTACATTTAATGGTTTAAAGTTAAATTAATTTACATTTAGCGGAAAAATTAAGGACGTAGTCACTTGTTTGTGAGTCGGCCTGCCAAGATGCTGACGTCCGGAGCCGCCAACATTGAGCTTCACAGCCACTCATCAAAGACATTTTAGCCTCTCAAGTCATCTGCATCTAATTTTATGTTCTAATTGCTGTAAATTAAACTACCAAACAGGATGTAAAGGAGTTAAAATGAGCTGCAGCAGTAAAATTCAGCATTGATGCAGCAGGAATATTAATCCAGAAACATCAGATATAACAGAGAAACTCTGGCAGGAACATTTTACTGCACTGTGAGTACTTTTACTGTCATACTGTAAGTACATGTTGCTGATAATACTCACATACTTTTACTGAAGGAAGGTTTGAATGCAGGACTTTTACTCGCAGTGGAGTATTTTCACAGAGCGGTATTAGTACTTTTACTGCAGTAAAGGCAGTTTACAGTGAGAATAAGCAGTAAAGTGTACAAACCTGCTTCAGGCTTGAAAACAGCGTCCAGTAGTTTGCGTTGTCCACAAAGTTCCTCCTCGTTCTCCAATTTAGACATTTTTACTGATTCACAGCAGCTTTTCCTCCAGACTGTTTCCAGCTAGCAAGCTAAGCTAACTGCATTAGCTTCGTAGGACACGGGAGATAATTCAGATGTTAAACATGTTCAGATAAAGGGAACAGCACAGAGTCTATTCAGACAGCTCTATCTGGACATTTGGACATTTGGGCTCCGTGAAAAATACAGTTTGGTCTCTATGGAAGCTGCTCCGACTGTGAGGCCGAGCTCCGGCTCCGGCTACTTCCTGCTAACAAGCTAACTTCCTTTAGCATTCTTGGCTAACAGGAGATGAGTCTGAGGTGAAACATCCCGAAAGTTTAAACAGAGTCCACTTAAACACGTTGATCCTCACATGCAGGCTCTGCTGCTGAACTCCGGCTGCATCTCACGGTACGAAAGGAAAAGTTAGCATGTTAGCAACCGGAAGTACACCTGCTGTTTCTTCTTCTTCTATGGACGCATACCGCCACCTACTGGACAGGAACTTCAGGGCTTTCCAGACTTCAGGCTACATGAAAGTGAATAAAGAAAATAAAGGAAACAAAACTATATTTAGTTGTGGGCACTGTAATAATATTAAGACACCAATAAGAATAATAGTCTTTATTTATACAGCACTTTTTAAAACAAAGTTACAAAGTTCTTTACGTGGTTGAAAAAGGATTAAAACACTTCTGGACTGAGGAAAATAAAATCTGACAATTTTTAATCTATTCTGATTGTTTATTTTGTAAGTTATCTGTCCTTATTTCTGTCTTTGTGCTGCTGTCACACCCAAATCTCTCCTCTGGGGATCAACAAACTATTATCTTAAATCATCAAGCAAGAATGGCCCCTGTGAATGTTATTTATTAAATTATTGGATTATTATTGCTGATACATGTTAGCAGCACGGTGATGTATACAGAGCACACCAGCAGTGCATGTAGAGGCAACAGCTCTTTCAAACTGTGCTACACTTTTGGTTTTCATCGGTTTCTTTACGGCTTTATTGCTGAAATGTTTGTTACCTTTTGACAGAAATACAGTCACTGGAAAACTTCTTTTTATATTAACATGAGAAGGTTTTGTTCCCAAACATGTGGTTCCTCCGTCTGAACATTTCTCTAGATAGATCCGCCTTCTAAGGAAACCTTTTCTGTTCAACACCAACTGTCATTTCTGACCATATTGTCTGTGAAATTATGACTTAGCATCCAATAATCTTGTAATTATGACTTTTGTGTTGTGGTTTTATTATTAATAAAACAACATATACTGAACTGACCCTGCCTGTTGGAGTTGCTAACTCGACTTCTTCCCTCTCCAGTGGCAACAAAAGGCTGTAGACAAAACATGGATGGACCGTTCAAATTGCTGCAGTATAAACAGTAGGATTGTCTTTTTATTTCTTCTTCCTCGTCAACAAAAAGCTCCAAGCAGTCCACTAACACCCGGAGGTAGTAACATCACCATGAGCAGAATCAAACAAACACGGGCCGATCAAGGCATTTTTTAAACTGCTTTGCTTTAGCTGTGTAAGTGTCGTAAACAGAGAGCAATTTGTGGTAGGACGCGGCTAAAATGTCTGCAGTGTGGAAATATTTTAAACTGGAAACGAAAGCAGTCCAACAGACAGCATTTCGCAAGGTGGTAGAAATATACTGAAAATATTCAACTTCAGTGAAAAATTTGTGGGGATCTCTGGAGGAGAGAGCCGGGGGGGTCAGTAGGTAGGCAGAGTAGCCAGTATGTTTGGAAATCTGTCTTCGGTGATTGGACGTCATAACCAAGCCAAGTGGCCAAACTACTCATGTTCTGACCCAAGCAATTGCGGTTTAACCAGTTTAGTTCCAGACTAACTCTTAGTTATTAAACCTCTAATATCGACTTTACACCCTAACTTACATATAGCTGGTGGAACCTAAGGCTGGGCAATAAATCAATAATGATAATTATTGCAATATAATTTTCCTCAATTAACAATATAACAGATGTTCAATATTTTGCTGAGGAAAAGGGACTTGAAAAATATTTACCAATCATATTCTTTGACAAAGATTTTATCATAATTGTTTTGAATGTTCTGCCACAGATTTGTTAAGTGATCCACTGTTTGGCATCAAAAGTTTAACCACACAATTAACCACCTGGTTTCTTTAACTTTCACTAAGGAGGAAAAATCTGCCTTTATAATTTTGACATTTATCCTGATAATTATACATATCAAATGATGCGATTTTTTTATTGTGATAACATTTTTGGACACATCGGCCAGCCATACCTATAAGTTCAATTCTCACTCTTCTTTTAGTTCAGCGTTTGTCTCCACCAACTTCTGAGGGATATATCTGGCTCCTTAGACTCTGAGGGCCAGATTTCCTAAAGGTCTGCGTGAGTAAAAACGTGTGCAAACTTGATATCACAAGCAAATTAACACGTAAGCTGATCTACTAGCGGTGTGCACGCAGAATGACGACTTTCGAAAGTGCAAGACAGCACCTGTTGTTAATTTACTACTTTTGCCTCAATGAAAATGCTATTTGGGCCGTTTCTATTTTATTGTGCAAAGTAATGGGAGGATAACATACAAATACATTTATTTACTACACGCAATCTGATCTAACAAGCCTAAAAGCTAATATCAACAATATCAGATACTATTATTCTATATCCAATGTATTGAAATTTATTCATTCGATGAACTATATGAATTGAATTGGGGTTTTTTTGTATTTTCCTTTAGCAGTACTGTTGTATTAACATTCAATAATAAATAGCAATAAAGCAAATTTCCTTTCGACCTGATTTCTTCTTTCTTTTCTCTGTGAGACTGAAGAATTTAGAAAGTTGCGTGGCGCTGTGGAGAGCCCCCAGCTGCAGTAGTGCACGGATCACACGTAAAATTCATCCAGCCAGAGGGAACGATCACCAACTGTTCATAGCGCGCCGGTCGTAGTAGTGACACAACCAGTTGTAGGTATCAGAGAGGGAATGGGGCGTTCAGGGACAGGAGATCGCAGAGCGACCAGGCACGGTGTGTACGGTCATCTCTGCAGCTTCATTTACTTCCACTGCTCTCACCAGCACACTTGTGCTTTTTAATATGGCCGAGCCGAGTAAACCTTTTATTACAAACGCTGCAACTAAATGGTTTATCCCCCGTGTGGATTCTCATGTGTTGAGATAAAGTATATCTAAGACGAAAACTTTCTTTACAAACTGTGCATGTAAAACGTTTTTCTCCTGTATGAACCCCTACGTGTCGGATCAAACTTGAATTTTCTGCGAATCTTCTACCACAGACAGAGCAGCTAAAGGGTTTCTCACCTGTGTGGACAGAAGAGTGTCGTCTTAGATGTGTCTTTCGTGTGAATTGTCTACCACAGACAGAACAAGTGAAGGGTTTCTTCCCTGTGTGGATGCTCAAGTGTCGTCTCAGAGCTCCCCTATCTAGAAATCCTTTACCACAAGCTGAACAACTAAATGGCTTCTCCCCAGTATGCATTCTCAAGTGTCTGGACAAATTGTTTCTGCGACTGAAACTGGCTTTACAAACTGAGCATGTGAAAGGTTTTTCTCCTGTATGAACTCTTAAGTGTGTGGTCAAAGTTGAGCTCTGGTTGACCCTTAAACCACAGATAGAACAACTGAAGGGTTTCTCCCCTGTGTGGATTCTCATGTGCATCAAAACACGGCCTCTCCATGGAAACGTTTTTTTACAAATTGAGCAACTGAAGGGTTTCTGCCCTGTGTGGATTCTCATATGATTTACAACTTCTACTCTCCCTTGAAAGTTTTTTCTACAAACTGAGCAGCTGAAATGTTTTCCTTTTGAATGAATTCTCATATGAGTCGTTAAGGAGCTCTTCCAGAGGTATCTTTTACCACAAACTGAACAACTGAAGGGCTTCTCTCCCGTTTGTATTCCATTGTCTTCTTGCAGATGTTCCCTGTGGCTCAAGCTTGTAGAACATGCAAAGGAGCTACTTGATGTTTTCCCATAATTACATTCCTGAACACTTACAGGGACTTCATTGTTTTTCAGAGGGTCTGAACCTGACTGAGGTTTCCTGGTTTCCTCCCCATGACAACTGACATCAGTCTCAGGTTCTGTTTGCATCTGTTCAGTTAGACTTTGATGAAGCTGTGAGGACTGAGGACCACCACACCGATGGTTTTTGAGCTGATAAAGCCAAGTGAATCCTCTGCCACAAACACTGCAGCTGTATCGTTTCTGCGCCGTGTGTCGCGCCATGTGGTGTGTCAGATAAACCTTTTGCAAAAATTTTTTACTGCAAATTGAACAACTGAAGGCCTTCTCCCCTGTGTGGATTCTCACGTGTCTCTTCAGATATGCGTTTTGGCTGAATCGTTTACCACACTCAGAGCAGCTGAATAATTTCTCATCAGTATTATATCTGTTATTTTTCAGAGGGTTTGAACCTGACTGAGGTTCCCGGGTCTCCTGCCAATCACAATTGTCATCAGTCTCAGGTTCAGAGGGGTGTGAACTCTTTTCATCAGTATCTGGTTGTAAATGTCTATCTGGATCTGAGTCCCTGGCTGGTCCTGGTCCTCCACAGTCCTCTACATAACCGTCTGTTTTAAAATGCTCTCCATCTGTTTTCTCTTCAGTTATTCTTTGATGAAGCTGTGAGGACTGACGACCAACACACTGATGGTTTTTAAGCTGATAAGGCCAAGTGAATCCTCGGTCACAAACACTGCAGCTGTATCGTTTCTTCCCAGTGTGGAGTGTCATATGGTGTGTCAGATAAACCTTTTGCATAAATCTTTTACTGCAAACTGAGCAACTGAAGGGCTTCTCACCTGTGTGAATTCTCATGTGTCGCTTCAGATTTGAGTTTTGGCTGAAGAGTTTACCACACTCAGGGCAGCAACACTGTTTCTCATCAGTGATACATCCACTGTTATTTTGCAGAGGATTTGAAACTGACTGAGGTTCCCTGGTCTCCTCCCAATCACAACTGTCATCAGTCTCAGGTTCAGAGGAGTCTGACGTCTTTTCATCAGTATCTGGTTGTAAATGTCTATCTGGATCTGAGTTTCTGGCTGGTTCTGGTCCTCCACAGTCCTCTCCATCAGCTTCTGTTTTCATCTGTTCAGTTAGTCTTTGATGAAGCTGTGAGGACTGAGGTTTCTCTTCATCGTCTTCTTCACTCTTCACAGGGACAGGAGTGAATGTGAACTTGGTGAGATCAGCCTCCTCCAGCTCTCCCTCCTGACAGGTCCAGAGTTCCTCCTGTTCCTCTTTAATGTGTGGTGTCTCTGGTGGGTCCTCCTGGTCCAGACTGGGGCTCCACTCCTCTTTAATGTGTGGTGTCTCTGGTGGGTCCTCCTGGTCCAGACTGGGGCTCCAATCCTGCTGCTCGGGGTGAACCTTTTCTTTACTCACCAACAGCAGCTGGACGTC